AGTAATTTCCTAATAATTCAGATAGTGTCCAGTATACAGGAAGCACGTGGCAGAAATTTGTACAGCATGCACGGGCACCATATGCCAACTCCTTGGAAGTGATGTCATTGAAGGAGGGAGAACAAAAATTGTACATTATGGTTGGCAAACTTCATAAATATGAAGAAACTATCTCTGCCCCTTTATAGGTCTATGTTTTGTCCATGGAAAGACTAACCAAGGATTGCCTGAATTTAAAAGAGGAAATTAAAAAGGGTCACCAGAAACTTAAAGAGGAGATGAAAGAGGAAATTTTCCATGCCCTGCCAGTACAGAGCAGAGTCTCTGCTATTTGGAGCAGGCGCCTGTGAGAGATTTGATGAGAATGCTGTCTCAAAACATTTTGGGCACATGTGTGGATGAAGGGGCGGGTCAGGTCTTACCCATGTGAGGTAATGCCCTGTTCTGCACACCCCACCCCTCCTAGACCCCAGTCCCCACAGTGGCCACCAATCACTGGCACACTGGAGGCAATGCTCCACACAACATCCCTGGAGCTCCAATCTAGCCCCAGAGTAGCCAGATGACCACAAGTCCCACCTGGGGGAAGGGCCAAGGAAAGCCAAATGGTACTTAAGTCAAAGCATGAGGAGATCACATGTCTTGACCCTACCTCCTCTTGGAATTTCTATGAACTGAACATCGCTGGAACTAGGAGTGGAAGGGATATTTGTTCTTTTCTATATTTCTTATATCTTTCTCCCTTTCTCTTTCTTCTTCTAATTCCCTCTTCTTTAAGTTTAAGTAACTTGAATACAGATGGGCTTGGAGATCTTTAAGTTGAATAGGCTAAGTTAATGCTCTTTGGAAAGTTTCATGTTGATTGAATGTTGCTGTAAGCTTTTGCCTAAGTTCTCTGATTTTCTAAATTTTGCCAGTAAATTTTTGTTGTTTTGACCGCTTGAGAATATCTTGTCAGTATTTCTCCCGTGTGTCTAACTCGGGGTATATAAATAAAAATATAAGCACTTTTAGGGTGCTCGTTGAGTGAGTTCTGGGGCCTTACAATGCCCCCCAGCTTGAGAGAGAGAATATGCTCCACAAGGTAATCTGTGGTTTTACCTGCATGAACATGGAGAAGACATGAGGAAGTGGGATGGAAAACCCACCCCTGCCCTAGCAGCACAGGTGCATGAGTTGAGAGAAGGAGCGACTACCGCAGGAAACTCTTCAAGGATAAATGCCACACCAGTTTTCAGTGGGAAAGCCCTCAGGCAGAATAGGTCTGATGTTGCCTCTGATCCTCTTGAAGGGACCCCCAGTTCATATTTACAAGGAGTGAGCAATGAGTAACATGACCAGAACTAGAGGGGCCCTGCGTCTGGCCAGGTGGAGGAAAGGAATAATCAAATTTATTGGACTGTGTCAATGCCTTAAGTTTTAGCTTTCATATTTTCCAGATTCGGTACTGCATTATTATATAACTCTGAACTTCATATAGAGTGTTAGCAAGTTCTCTTCACAGTTAAGTTAGACAAAACAATCCTTTTCCAGCCCGAGAACCAAGGACACTGGACACCGTTGCAGCTTCAGGCCCAAAAAGTATAAACAACAGCAAATTGGGGGGAGCAACTGGGAAAATGTGACTTCATAACCTGAAGCTGTAATTGGACAATTAACCTCAATATGCAAATGAACCAAAACTTATAAAAGTGTGAAAAGGTGTATCCCATCGTCCATCTTGGGTGTAGCCTCGTCTGAGCTCTTGTACTGCCCAAGGTGTATCTTTTGAAGGCCTTTTAATAAATACCTATTTTATTCCTTTAACACTATCTAGCCTCTGTTCTAGGTAGCTTCTCAAGGCATCAGAGTGGATCTGATGCCCTGGAATATTAGATCCACAAGAGTATAAGACTTTAGTTCACAGCAGCGCACAATGTACCCTGATGCCATCAAGATATGTAGGGGAAGAACCCATCTCTATTTCTGGGGCGATGGGGATCCCAACAGGTGGCTGTACTGGAAGCTGAAGTGAACCTGACTGGGAATGAGTGGCAGAAACATCCCATTGTGACTGGCCCAGAGGCCCTGTGGATCCTTGACATAGATTACCTCAGGAGAGGGTGTTCCAAAGACTCAAAAGGACATTATTGGGCTTTTGGGATAGCTGCTGTGGAGACAGAGGAAATTAGACAACTGAATATCTTTCCAGTCTCTTAGAGGACCCTTCTGCTATGGGACTGCTGAGGATTGAAGAAAAACAGGTACCAACTGCTACCACAACAGTGCACCATCCACAATATCGCACCAACCAGGACTTGGTGATCCCGATCCATGAGATGATTCCTGAATGGGAGAGCCAGGGAGTGGTCAGCAAGACTCGCTCACCCTCCAATAGTCCTGTATGGACTGTGTGTAAGCCCAATGGAGAATGGTGACTGACAGTGGACTATCACAGCCTGAATGAAGTTGCACTACCACTGAGTGCTGCTGTACTGGACATGCTGGAGCTTCAGTATGAACTGAAGTCCAAGGCAGCAAAGTGGTGCCACCATTGACAATGGTAAGGCATTTTTCTCCATTCCCTTAGCAGCAGAGTGCAGGCCACAGTTTGCTTTCACCTGGAGAGGTGTGCAGTACATGTGGAACCAACTGCCCCAGGGAGGGAAACACAGCCCCACTATTTGCCCAGAACTGATCTAGATTGCACTGGAAAATGGTGAGGCTCTAGAACACTTGGAATACATTGATGACATCATCATGTGGGGAACACAGCGGAGCAGTGGAGGAAGTTTTTGAGAAAGTGGAGAAGATAATCCAGATCCTTCCGAAGGCCAATTCTACCATAAAATAAAGTGTGGTTAAGGGACTTGAACAGGAAATTCCATTTTTTAGGAGTAAAATGGCAAGATGGATGTTGTCAGATTTCAATGCATGAGGTTTACAAAATAGCAGCTATGTCCCCAGTGAGAGGAATGACGGATTTGTCTTTACAAACAAGCTGTGGGTCTGCTGGTAGATAAAACTAGCACTGAGAGAGAAAAAAAACAATGGGAAGGATTCCACTGATGGATGAATGGAAAACGATATTTGCTTTTACAATTAAACTGTAGGTTTGCTGATAGATGAAATTTGACATTGAAAGATTAAAGAAACAATGGGGAAAACCCCTAAATTCCATAAGAATTAAAAATTAAAAGGGAGGGTTATACATTAGAGGGAAATCTTCAGTATCAGGCATATCTGGAAGTCTGTACCTCTCAAGTACCTCAGCCAATGGGGAAAGAGAGAAGGGAAATGCGTCAGGGAAATTAGGATAAAACGGAGGCTGCATCCTCCAAAAATTTGAGACACCCCAGGGGAATGCCCCATGGCCTCTCCCTTTATTTGAATAAAGTAAAAGGACTCCTCTGTCACCTTTTTGGACATACTGTGATAATCACATATTGTCTGAACAGAGAGAGACATAGCTCTCCCAGGATTTTCCTAGGAAGCTGTGAGAAAGCTCAGAGAAAAGAATGTGAAACAATTCTTATCTTCACTTGCTGCACCTGTTGTTATGCACATGTGGAATGTGTTATGGAGATTTGTTTACCAAAGGGTGATTTCTTAATTGGCCACTGGTGATGGTGTTTGGATTTGATTGACCAATCTGGTCAAAGCTGTATCAGACTGTCTGCAAGGGTGATGGGTTTTTTTCTTATTAGTATAATATAGTATAGTACAAAAAGCAATTGATCAGCCTTCTGGAATCATGGAGTCAATGCTAATTATTCCCTGTTTGGGGGCTCACTGGTACGATAAGGGGTGAACCCGGATGCTGAATGCAGTCTAGGCTGAAGAAACAGGACCCTAATGGATCTGGCCGAGTTTGCAGCTGAGGCTGAACACAGGAGGGTCTGCTGAACCCTCACAGAAATCACGTCCGGCAACTCTTTGTGGAGTCGCGGGATGGGAGATGCCATCAGACTCTTGCTGGGACCTGCGGAACCCTGCGCAGCCCGCTCATAACTGGACACCTTTTGCTTCCTCGGAAAGGTAAACACTGACTTTTCCCTGCGTCTTCCTGGAGAAGATTTATCTCTTGGGACTGCGTTTTGGCCCCATAGCCTAGAGGCTGGGGCAGGGAACATATCTCCCAACAATAGCACTGCCTGTGACCTGGGGTGGTGTCACTGTCGAGGAGGTCACGACATAAAGCAGAGACCACAAGCAGTCTCAGTTGGCAACACTTTATTATTGAATATGGCTGATTTTTATACACTTTCCAATTGTTTATCCTTCTTCTATCTTTACTATTGGCCACAATAAATCAACATAATACTATTGGTGAGAAGTTATAATGACTTAATTAACTTTCTAAAAATGTTTCATCCAGCTGCAAAGTTCTTCTATCCCTCCTCTCTTGGTCTCCTTGGTTACAGCCTTGGAGAGAGCTCCTTATCAGCTTCTTCTTACTTCTCAGCTTCTTCTCGCTCCTTTTGCTAACAGGCCCGCTGTTAGCCCCTTCCACAGGGTGGGTTTGCAGTTGGGAAGAGATGCCTGCAGAATTGGGTGTCTGATTTTAGATGTTAGAAGAGGACACCCTTGAGGTGTGGAAATTTCTGATTCATCATGACAGACTCCCTGTGTCAGAAGAGGCTCTCTACAGGTTTTTCAGTTGGGCAAAAGTTCATGGTTTCCCCTTGAATGTGGAATCCACCCTGGATCCGCGGGCCTGGGACTCACTGGGTCTCTATCTTTTGGGGAAACTCAGGCGAGGTGCGAGAATACCTCGACTACTATCGATCTGGTCAGTGCTCTCCAGAGTAGTACGGGGCCGGACCCCATTGGAAAGTAATTCCACCTTGGTGGGCATGTCTGACTTGGACATGGAGGAGAGCCTGGCCCCAGGTGGGTCGCCATCAGCCTCTCCGCCACAGCCAGCTGGGGACCGATCCTTTCACAGACAGCCAACGCTGGCTCCTTCCTGGCATTGCCCACAGAGCACTCAGAGCAACTCTCTCCTGTCTTCCTGGCGCATGCGCAGGAAGGACCGAAGCTTTCAGCGGCTCCACTTTCTTGGTCAGCAATTCTCCAACCGGAGCCATGATCACTCCTGCCTCTTTGCCTTCGCCAGCGCACGGGGGACCATCGCCTCCTCCTCCTCCCTGCCGTGCAGCTTTGGATCAGCCCTGCTGCCGGATTCCCCTCCCCCCGCGCCGCAGGAGGGGGAGGAGTCGTCCCCGCTGCCGACAAGGGAGGCAGCCGGTTCCGCGACAGCAGCCGGCAGCCCCACGCTGGAGAGCACATCCAGCCCTCCTGCGCCGCAGCCTGAAGCTGATTCATCAGCAGCGGCGCCCGCAGCACCGGCCAGGGATGCCCCCCCCCGCCGGCTCTGCCACCTCCAGCCGGCCCAGCTCCCATCCGGGATGCGAGCTATGGCACTGAAGATCTTCAGCCCGCCTGGCCGCCCCCGGCTGCCCCGCCCCATGCTGTTTCCCTCGGGTTGCCCGGGAACACGGACAGCACTGAGCATCAACAGCCTGTCCCTCAGTGGGGGCGTGCCCTCGCAGCAGGGCGCCGGCCCGACTGTGCTGTGAAATCTGAAGATCAACATTCCTTTGGGGAAAAAGCCTTCCCTGCCGTGCCTTGGGGCACCCTGTGCATCCTGTTCTCGTTCGCAGGGCGGTAGGAGCGGGGTCCCGAGAGGCTATGGCTTGGTCCATGCCTGGGAGGGGCGGGGGAGGGGCGGAATGCCAGAGTAATGCCGAGACATTGGCAGCGTGGTGGGGGCGGGCAGTGAAGGAGAAGGCGGGAGTGAATCGCCCATCTGGGGATGGGCATGGGCTGTCCCAGGGATCCCAGATCCAGGGGTGTAGAGAGCTTTTTGGATAATTAGCTAGCTGAGAAAGGCCACTTCGATGTGATACCATTGGATAAGGATAGGGGAAACAAGCTGGGCATTATGTAACCGGTGTCCAATCACTGACAAAGGTCATAGTGACCTTCGCTGAAACGAGAAGACGGGGGAGAAAATCGCTTGCCAGAAAATGTAGATATCCTAGGTAGAGAAGCTAGAAGAATGCAAACATAGAAACAAAATAATCATTAGAGCATAGAAGTAGGTGTGGTTGATCTAAGTGTGCTTTAACCAATAATGAGCTCAGCTTTTGCAATATGTATAAGCTTCATTAACACCAATATAAATATGTGTGAGCTTTCAATAAACTTTGGGATTTGCCATTCACGCATATTGTGTGAGGCATTTCTTCCGGCCGTTCACGACACAGGGGCCCCAAATGATACCAGTGAAAAGCTGGGGGAAGGGAACGAGCCGAATTAATCTGGCCTTGGCAGCGGGGGTGTCGCCGCCCCGACGGCCAGGTCTGGGTCCCTTGGACCGCCCACCGGGGCCAGGTCCTATGGCCCGCCTCCGCTGCTGGCCTTCTGAAGAAGAAGAAGAAAAAAAGAAGGTGGAAAGAACTACCGTCTTCACTGACAGCTCAATGTGCTGGAAGGCCACAAGCCAGCCTCGGCCTAAGTGGTTGAATTAAAGGCTGTGGTCACGTCATTCCAGAGACTTTCTCAGTACCTCTGAATTTGATAGCAGTGTTACACAGAAAAGGTAATTCTGCAAACCATCCAATTAGAGCTTGGGCTGTGGCTAGGTCCTAACTCTACCTGGATGGGGATGATTGACAATCAACCCAGATGTTTTCTGCATCCAAAGGATTCAAGTAATTTTGGCTTGGCAATTTGACCACATATATATATGACAGCTGAGCCTACTTTCAAAGGGAGTTTGGAAAATCATGATCCGGACATGATTTCCAATTCTGCTGAGTTGAGATTTATCAGCTGTTGCAGACTCTGGGATGGCAGTCAGTGCTATAGTGACTGATATTTGTGTAATCTCACATGTGTTATTGATTATGTGCATTCTCTGATTGATTTCTAATGGTTGTTAGTAACCGTCTTCAGCTGTTCTCTGTTTCAGGACCAAGAAGGACATTCAGGGATGTCAAAGATCAACATCTCCAACTAATGGACCTTCTCCTGAAACTCAGCTGTTTGGACTTCGAAACAATGATCATTCTTTGCATTGTTGTTTGGTTTTCTTATATTGTAAACCTTGTTTTAATGATATGATCGAAATAGATATTCTACAGGTAAAGAATCTCCCTGATCATTCTAAGTCAACATCTGATTGAGGTTTTGATTGACAACCAGCAAATTGCTAAGGGAACCTCTTGAGCTGTGTTTGTTCTCCTTTCTATAAAGGGCCCTACAGAGGACTACAAACACCGCCTTTTTTCTTTAAACACAAAAGGGTGAATTGTGGCCGCAGCCTTCTCCACAGAGAGCAGCAGGCACAACTTTCCCAGGCATTGTGCTGGGAAAGGCTGTGAGAAAGCTCAGAGAAAAGAATGAGAAACAATTCTTATTTTCACTTGCTGCACCTGCTGTTGTGAACATGTGGAATGTGTTATGTAGATTTCTTTACTAAAGGGTAATTTCTTAATTGGCCACTGGTGATGGAGTTTGGATTTCAATTGACCAATCGGGTCAAAGCTGTATCAGACTGTCTGCAATGGCGATGGGTTTTTCTTAATAGTATGGTATGGTATAGTATAGTATAGTATAAATAAAGAGATTGATCAGCCTTCTGGAATCGTGGAGTCAATGCCAATTATTACCCATTCAGGGGCTCGCTGCTACAATACTTTTTATTCTCCAAAATGTTTCATATGCATCAAGTTTTGGAATAGATCTGAGCATATTCATTTCCCTGCTCCGCCGAGCCCTGCTTTGCCTTATAATTAGCTTAGCAGTCATTCTGTGCTTGCGCAGTGCTCTCTGGTGGTCTTTTGGTGGTCACAAGAGGAAGGGCAAATGAGTCTTCATCAATGTGAACTCTTCACCTTTCCTTGGCTGTGTATGCCCTCTAGTCTCTTGGTTGCAGTTCAAACCACAAGGCTGGTTGAAGCCAGTTTAGGGTCTGAGGAGCTTCTCTTATCTTCAACAGCTCTGCAGGCCTTGCATTCCTTCCACCTTGTTTAGGGTAAGAAGCTCTCCTTATCAGGATATCCTTGCATTCCTTTTGTGAGAAACAACTGCTCACTTTTTAAAATTTTATTAAACTTTAACAAAAAATGACAACAAAGGACTGAATAAGGAAAAATTACAGCACTGGAAGCCCCCCCATGACTACCAGTCCTGTGTCTCCTCTACAAAATGGATGCTCTGCCTTTTATATCCTTAGCCCCTCCAAAAGTTTTGTCAGTCAACTCTTTCTCTGCCATCCATTGGTGGAGATTACTTTTTACATCTTGATTGGAGGTCAGGTGTTGCTATGCTGCACCTCCTGGTAACAAGCCAGCCTCCTCTAAATGTCTTGACTACTAAGGCTATTACAAGGCAGAGAGGGAAAGAGGACTATGGAATGACATATTACAATAACATTACTATACATCTACATAATAGCCATCTCCCAATTGTGAGAGCCAACTATTACATTACTTATTTATAGAAAACCCCCCTTTTCCTTTTCTATAAGTCATATGGCTCAAATAATTACCTCTTATTTTTGATTCAGATACTTTACCCTTACTTCTCAAAAAAATAAATACTAACATCTGTGAGTGAGGACAGTGGGAACAGGAAAAATTGGACAATATGGGATTACAGAAGCCTATTTAGTCTTGCCCTTTAGTGTCTGTGGTGGTTTGACAGGAAATGTGTTTTTTGGGATGCTGTGTTTTTGGCCAATGGATATTCAGACTTTAATATTGGCATTTAACCTGGCCATTGGGACATGGACACGCCTCTGAGAACACGGGGTTAAAAGCAGAGCTCTCCCCTGGGAGGGTCCTCTTGGGTTTCCGGCAGGAAAGAGTTTGGGTCTCTCCCCCGGCCCAGCTGCTGGCTGGGCAGGGGGAGGGGAAAAGCCATGTGGCCAAGAGAGGTAGGCCTGAGCCCCGGGGTGGAAGGGTGGAAGAGAGAGAGAGAGAGACAGACACCGGGAGCCATCGGGCAGGCCCCCCTGAGAGACAGAGAGAGAGAGAAAGAGCCGCTGCCTGAGACTGTAACCTTGAAGCTTGATAAACATGGGCCTGTGCCGGCAGCACGGCTGGGACAGAGAAGGGGGGGGGGGGGGTTCAGCCGGCCGCTTGTAGGAGCTTTTAACCCCTTTTTGGAAAATGAGAACTTTACAGAACATTGACCTTTCCTAGAAGATAGAGTGGAAGATGAAAAAGGAAATGGGCCAGTGTGAGAGAGGTCTGGGCAAGCGAGAGATAGTAGAAGAATAGAGAAGAATCCTAGTGGGAAGAGATGATGGAGTAGCTTTTGCTGGACTCTTTTTGTATAGCCATGGACAGAACCATGTTCCTTGTGATACAGAGACTGCATTCTAGGGGGAGGCAATGGCCTCAGAACCAAGAGGGTTCAGTGTTGATGCCCCTCAGCCCCAGGGGGTGAAAAAATATGGGGGGGACAGGTGTCCCAAAGGAGAGATTGTGGGGACAGGTGTCCCAAAGGAGAGACTGTGCCTTTTTTTGGATCGGGACAGAGCATCCTTAAAAGACAACCCTAGAAGCAGTTCTGGTCCGTGTTCAGTGGTGAGAGCACTGGACATGAAAAGGAAGAAGTCACGACGGCAGATGTACTCCGGGCAGTGCCACAAGTGACACAGGAACACATGAGGCTTCGATTGTGTTTCCAGGGGAAGCCCATGGCACAAGAAGGACTCCTCTCCTCTTGATGAACTGAGGATTGATTGTTTGAAGGGTGGTGCTGGACCGAGAGTTGGTGATTTGAGGAACAAATGTATTGTGTTGGAAATTTGGTGGGGGGAGGAGGAAATGCATTTGTGAGGTTTTCATTTTCCCTATGTGTGTGTTTTATTTTATCTGTAGTTGTAGAGTAGTTAATAAAGTTTCTGGTTCTTTTTTCCCTAAGTAGGAGCCTGCTTTGCTTATTCCTGGTCACATCTCACAGCAGAAACCAGGGAGAAGGTATCTTCATGGGGGCACTGGCATTGTGCCAGTGTTAAACCATGACAGTGTCCATTGTCTTAAGAGACAACTGAGGAATGATAGAGGTCTGGTATGTCTTTCTTCTTCCCACCTCACCATGCCTACGGGGTTGCTACCCACAGCAGGGCTATAATCTTGGTGGCAAACATAGGGGCCAACCCAGTCTTGCCCTCTATATTTTTTTTGTTTTACCTTACTTGTTGGTTCTTAAGGAAACTGTCTCAATACTCCTTATGGTTCCTTGTGTACCTTCCCTCAACAGATGCTTGTAATTCTTATCTATTAAAATAGGATAATTACATCAATAAACTATACAGTTCAAACTCCTCACCCAAAGTGTTAGTTAAAACAATCTTTAAGCTGGCTGATGAAAGCTAGATTCTACTTTTGGACATCTTCAAGCTTCTTTGGTTATCTCTAGTCCATTCTTTGGGTTCTTTCACAGGGTTTTGAATTCTATTTACATGAGTCCACTTCCACTCTGCAGTTCACACAGACAATTCACGGGTTAGCAGTGCCTGAAAGGGACTTCCCCACTGAGGGGTTAAACTAAAGACAATGCA